TCCAACTGAAAGATTAAGATTAGAGGTGCAACTGAAAAGCTTTCATGTTGGATTTGAACCAGTTTTAGTCTTAAAACGTTCCTGCTCTGATCAAAAGGATAGCTGTGGCTCTCAGCTACCTGATTACTGTATAAGAAATACTTTGCAGAGTACTTAAAGGAGAAGGCTGGATTCTGTTTCATTACTATTCTCAACAAGGTTCATAAAACCAAAATCAAAGTGTTACTCTTTTTCTCATTACTTTGGCTTCCTTCACCTGTTTCCTGTTTTTATCAAATAGGACTAAATATGTATTTAATTAGGGACTATTAATCGACTACTACTATTACTGGATTAATCCACATTTGGTGCTCGGGTGAGTATTTGGGGCAGCAGGACGGTGTATGTGGGACTGAATCAAAATAACTACAGTGTTTGTGTTCATGGTAATGAAGGAACATGTCACCCAGTGCAACAGTGTAGCTCATTGATGTGTTTTTGAAAAACAATGGAGCTCTAAGGCACAGACAGTAAGACAAATATAGAATATCACCAGAGTTATCCTTCAAAATCTGCTTTGTTTTTTCTGTTTTTGCTCCGAGGGACCTCACAGTTGATCCCTGTCAAAATATTGTCTGCATGCAGCTGTAAATCAGGGGCTCATTTCAGAGCAACACAACTCAAGAAAATCCTCTGCCTCTCTTCCCAGACTGCAGTCAGTAACAACATCATTCACTGCAGGTGTTTCCAACCACAGAGAGCCAATCAAACCACCGACTCCACCCACTGATAATTACTCATCAGTGAAATCACCTGCTGACTGCACAAGTTCCCCAAATTAACTTGCTGAAAAATATCCCACATTAAATAACAGATATTCATGTTAAATGATTTTAATCACCTGAAAAAAGATGATTCTTGTTGCAGAAACACTTAATTTAGAGGCTCATTGGGGATTTTTTTTTTTCCACTAAAAGTGCAACAGCAGCTTTAAGAAGAAACCCCCGTGTTCAGGTTTTACTGGTGCATCATCAATATGTGGCGTTCAGTTGGTCCAGGGGCTTCCTTTCTGGTGAAGTGCTGTAATTTATTTGTATCCTGTGTGCTGTTCCTGCAGTAATGATGCAGAACTGATGCAGGAATAAAAGCACAAAGGCTGCAGTCATTAGACTCCAGTCAACAAATGAAATCTCAGAGGAAGATGAGATTAAAATACAGACTCTGATGTCAGTGTCAATGTCATTTAGTTTTATTGATCCTGATCTAAAGACTTGGACTGCAGCTAATGATTAAGTTCATTACTGATTAATCTGCATGTAATTATCTCAATTGATTGTTCCCAGGGCCAAGGCAGATGTCTTCAAATTGCCTCAACAGTCCAAAACCCAAATATGTTTAATTTATAATCAGATAAAACAGAGAAAAGCAGAAAATATGTGAAGTAGGTAACTTTTATAAAATTACGTTTTTGTAATATTTATAAAACCAAGTGACAGTCGTACATGAGACAGACAATCTGTGAAATAACCAGGTTCCTCTGACTCCTCCTAGTTCTCCTGATGGCATTTTCAAGAATCCAATGTGCCGAAAACAACCAATCAGCCTCTTATCTGTATCTGATGACCTGGGAACGAGACTCAACCATCAACAAAGTTTCAGCAAATATGACAGAAAGTTATTTTTATAAATGTTACCTGCTGCAGCTTTAATTGATTAATTATTTCACATGTACAACAGATAAACCAGACATTTACAAAGCACATCTGATGTTCATGAAGCCAAAACTATTCTACAGCTCAACATCAAAACAAAATAAGTGAATAAAAAGAGCAGCTTGGTGGAAACCGCTGTTTAGCAAACACAAACTCGTTTGCTCAACTAAAATGACCTTCAGGGAAATATTCAGTTTGGGAGAGAAAAGCTGCCCGAGAGCCAAACACACACACACTTATGTATTATTCAAACTACACTCTCTCTATCTCTCTATCTC